AAACATGCATAAATTTCTATGGATATAGAAATGAATGGCGTATGTAATAAGGACGGTTGAAATTGAAATGAGTAATGATTCATATTTTTATGCCTCCGTAATTGAAGACTTGGGGGTATATAGTTTTTGCCCTGTCCGTCCGTCCGTCTGTCTGTTTGTCAGCATAAATTTTAACCTTGACCATAACTTCTGATTGATTGGAGCTATGGCTTTCATATTTCACATGTGTATACCTTGTGACAAGACTTTTCTTTGGGTTCCCTCATAACTGACCTTTTGACCTTGACCTTGGAGTTTGACCCAGTTTTGCAAAATTTTACCCAACATTAACCTTGGCCATAACTTTTGAACAATTGGTGCTAGGGCTTTCATAGTTCACATATGTAATCCTTTTGACAAGTCCTTCCTTTGGATATCAAAAACTTTGACCCTTTGACCTTGACCTTGGAGGTTGACCTACTTTTGAAATACTATAACCTTGGCCATAACTTTTGAATAGCTGGTGCTAGGGTTTTCGTATTTCATATGTGTATTTCTTATTACAAGGCCTTTCCTTGCGCACCATTTATTTTGACCATTTGACCATGACCTTGATGTTTGACTCACTTTTGAAAAACTTTAACCTTTTCCATATCTTTTAACGGTTGCTGCCAGTGCTTTCATATTTCACAGGTATATTCTTGGAGACAAGATCTTACTTTGGGTACCATCATAATTATTTGGTTTGCATTTGAGAAACTTTAACCTTCACCATAAGCTGCCATACGGGGGCATCAGTGTTTCACAAACCCATCTTGTTGAAATCCTTTATTTGTATATAGAGCACTTAAAATCGTCATTCAAGTCTAGAGTCAGATAGCAAGATCGCTTTATATAACGAAGATGGATTGTATTTGCATTGAATGTAGACATTTTGGTACTAATTAGATACTTTTTCAACTTTAACGTACACAGTGACAGTTACAGTTATTTTTTTTTTTTTTTTTAAAGGATGAAATATGAAGATAACGAATAGTTATCAATCTCAAAAGTCCGTTCAAGCAATACAAAATTGGAGCAAAGCAAACATCAGATATGGGATCAGGTGCCATGGAGGAGTGAACATCCCTAACATTATTTTTTTTTCAAAATCCTTTAAGAGTTCAAAGTCAACTCGAGCTCCCTTTAGATCCGCCACTCAAAAGTTTTGAACTTGCTCATACATGTGCTGAAAAATTTTGATCCCCACTCCCATTGATATCACCTCTAATAAGTTTAGATCATGATCATCAATGTCTAAAATGTACCGTAAATGTTTTAATGTTTTAAATCATTCAGTATGTATTAATTAACATGATTATTGAAATTTATCAAAATCATTTGATCCAAAACAGATATCCAAATAACTCACTTATATTATGTTGAAAGAATCAGAGTAAATTTAAAAAATATATTTTTTCTTGAATCCTTTTAAACTTTCATGTCCACTCCTCTTTGATCCACCACTCAAAAGTTTGAATCTTGATTTCACATGTGCTGACAATTTTTGATCATGATAATCAATGTCTCAAAGTATGCTTAATGACATTTAGTGTTAGATTTTAATGTTGATTTTAATGCTAAATTTAAAAAAATCCTTTGGTCTACAACAGACATCCAAATCACCCACTCATAATAATAATATAATGATAATGCTTTCTGTAGAGAAGGTAGCTCGATTAGTACAATGTACTATATTTCCCCGGGATCTTCTGAATTTCAAACAACATACATAATAAAATACATAAAATCATACAATCAAAGATAAACATACATGTAGAATGATTAGCTCCTGATTAAATAAAATTAAGAAATAAAGTCCGCGTTATCGTGAATGTTGCAGGATAACCTCCGAGGTCGAGAAATGTTGTCTGAAATATAAAAGCCGAGGCGTAAGCCGAGGCTTTTATATTTCAGACAACTTTTCGAGACCGAGGAGGTTATCCTGCATCATTCACGACAACAAGGACTTTATTTCTATTCTACTAACGGCTCTAAAATACAGCTGATCGTTTTCTCTATCAAGAAACGAATTAGGTCACTATGTCGCAATTCCGCTGTTCCATTTAACACCAGAGGGTCAATCGATTGCATAAAACGCAGACGATTTCAGCTGTTGTTGGATTAAAAATATTCTTTAATTATTTATAAATTTGTTCGTAACATATATTGATTAATTTTTGTGAATGTAAAATAACAAAACCAGTAGTCTATTTCATTGCTTTATCAGTAAAATCACGGGAGTGTAAATGTTGTGGGGAGGTCCGTGGAACTGCCCCACTTGGCTATAAAAACGGATATTTATCAGTTGTTTCAGGCAATACACACGTTTAGACTGCGTAAGACGACACATCGATGTGGTCTAAATAAGTATTAGATTCTACAGTGAAATATTTATTTCAACTGTACAGGTTTGACATGTGTTTCTGATCTGATAATTTTTTGATGACGTTCATGATTTATTGGAGAATAATGTCCGCGGCATTTCTTTGATCTCGGCAATAATCGTAGTAGAATGTTGAATAAAATCACTTGAGAAATGTATGGGGGATAAATAATGAAATCTATATATACAGTATACAGCAGGTAGAGGTGGAGATAATTTTACATCTCAAGGTAGGTTATTCCATGCATGTACGCCTGAATATTGAAGACAATTTTTGAATAGAATTGTTTGATGCTTTGGTAAACGTAGATTATAATTTAATACTGAACGCAGGGAATATGAATCATGGATATGAAAATCAAAAAGATCCTGGAGATATTCAGGGCTCATACCGTGAAAAGTTTTGTACAATAAAACACACTTACGTAATGTAACTAATTCATACACATTTAACCATTCTAGTTTTTCAAACAAAGGTTTTGATGGTTCGTTGCGGATCGGGTGCTACATCAAGAATAATTCTAGCAGCTCGTTTTTGGAGTTTCAATGTCGATGTTAGTTTTTGAAGCACTACCCCAAATTGCAAGACATTTATTTATTGAAGGCAATTATATAATTTTGAAAGAAGTTTTGACAATGAAGTTATGTTAAATACAAAAGATATAATTTTTTTCGCCTTTTTCCTTTAAAATCAATGTTCACTCCCTTTGGGTCCACCAATAAGAATTGGATCTTGATTACACAGAATCAATAAGCTTATTGTCTAAAGTCAATCAGTCTTTTAGATATATAATCAGTAAAACTACACAAAATATTCTTAGATCCACGTACAGATCCCAATTCCATTGGTAATTTTCATGTTCACTCTTGATAATTATAATATTACAGTGAAATAAACAAGAAGTCTGTGAGCCAATAATACTACACTAATAATACCCCCGCTCTGACGTGAATACACAAGTTCAATTATGGACAAACACAGTGATAATCAGGAAATTGACATCGGATTTGTAAAAAATGAATCCCAACATATGGCATCCCTAAATAAACACTGTGTTAAAATTTCAAGCACCTGCGATGAGTAGTTGCTGAGAAAACTGCGACCAAAATTTGTTATGTATGTATGGTACGGACAGACGCACGGATAAACAGGAAGTTGACATCGGATTGGTACAAAAATATATCCCACCATATGGCATGCCTAAACAAAGAGTGTGTTTAAATTTCAAGCACCTGCTATGAGTAGTTGCTGAGAAAACTGCGACCAAAGTTTGTTATTTATGGTACGGACAGACGCACGGATAAACAAGAAATTGACATCGTATTTGTACCAAAATGTATCCCATTATAAGGCATGCCTAAACAAAGATTGTGCTGAAATTTCAAGCATCTGCGATGAGTATATGTAGTTGCTGAGAAAACTACGATCAAAATTTGTTATGTATGGTACGGACAGACGCACGGATAAACAGGAAGTTGACATCGGATTCTTAGAAAAATGAATCCCACCATATGACATGCCTAAACAAAGAATGTGTTAAAATTTCCAGCATCTGTGATGAGAAGTTGCTGAGAAATCTGCGACCAAAGTTTGTAATGTGTGGTACGGACAGACGCACGGATAAACAGGAAGTTGACATCGGATTAGTACAAAAATGAATCCCACCATATGGCATGCCTAAACAAAGATTGTGCTAAAATTTCAAGCATCTGCAATGAGTAGTTGCTGAGAAAACTGCGACCAAAATTTGTTACGGACAGACAGACAGACACACAGACGGACAGACAGACGGACAGACAGACAGACACACAAGGGTAAAACAGTATACCCCCTCTCCTTCAGAGCGGGGGTATAAAAATATCAATATATGTTTTCAAAATTTTGACACCCCCCCCCCCAATAGATCGACCGCTATGGACTATGAATAATTGTTTATTACAACCTGATATCAGATCATGTCACAAAAAAGTTTACATCTAGCTAATTTACCTTTGATCCATAATCATTAATTGATAAGTATTATCATAATAATAGTCATGTTGTATGTATATAAAGCTTGTCCGTCTTGTTTTAGCAACAGGAACCAACCCCATAACCTCTTTTATCCTATAGTAGAACAAGCCATAAAGTACGCAGTCATGTATATAAAAATTCTTAACTCCCAAACCTACTCCAGGTATTGCACATACACCAAATTTGTAATTTTAGTGACAAAAGGAATTCCCTTTCATTGATACTGTGTCCCCAAAACAGATCAATTAATCTGCTTCCACAGATCAACCCATGTAGAATATGACAATTTACTTCAAAAGCATTACAAATTCAAATTATTGCATAACAAACAAAGAAGAGTAAATGGACTATCAATAACAGAGTTGTCTTGATCATTTACTTTATATTGTAATATACTGAAATATTTTTGTTCCTTAGTTTTAAATCTCATTTTTACGTCATTTCATTCACTAAATAATAAAACAGCATTGTCTTGTCCATTTTCATTATTGAAATATTTTTGTTCCTTAGTTTTAAAATTCATTTTTACGTCATTTAATTCACTAAATAATAAAGCAAAATTAAGTAAAACTATTTCCCACTTAACATAAAAAATTTGAAAATGAAAACTTTTAAATGGAATTCATTTGAATTATAAACGAAGATATGCAAGTAATTAGCTTTTTTATATGTAAAAGAGGGGCTTATTCTGCAGTCAAAACATAATTTATAAATGAGCGTTCCTAAAATTTACCTACTTGGGACTCAACTTATCATTTTATTTTACTGAAATCAATCAACACCTTTTCGTAGATTTCTTTAAGACAGACAAAGAAATTAAAAAAACTAAAGCCATTAATATGTTCCATTTTCAACTATAGATATCTAAAATAATATACACAAATAAATAGAGTTTATTACAACGCCACTTTAGTGTCGATGAATGATTGGATTTTCCCTTTAGCCTCTGAATTAACATCACACTCATAACATCCTCCGTCCCCATACAAGATATTGGTAAAGTCTGTAAAGCAATCGTCTGGGTTGTGTTTCAGCATTGGTCCTGGAGAAATTCCTTCCCGGCAGTTTTGGATTACAACGAGCATGTTCGTACAACCTAAAATATTTCAAAAACTAAAAGCTTAAGGTTAACGATATATATATATCTATATCTATATCTATATCTATATATATAATTTCTCTCATTTATTCCAAATTTCAAGCTCTCTGATTGGCTCAAACTTGATTACAGTCATGATCAAGTATTATAGTGCTGATTGCACAATAGCTAATGCATGATGTTTCTGGAAAAAAAATATACTTCATCTCCTTTTTATGATTTTGATGTTCAGTAATAAAAGGTAAGACGTAGCAGTGACTTGAATAAGTATCTATGTTATATTAAAACATATTAGATATGTTTTTTTTTTCAAAAATCAATACAAAACATAATAAAACAACTGGAGCCAAATCTTTTAAATTAGAAAATTCACTTTACACTATTAGTATAAAGAAAACCATTAAACAGCTTAATTTATTTTGATCTCTAGTCTCTAAGTGTTAAAAACAAGAGAGAAAACTTGAGGCTTCCAATTATTTTCAAATTTTGTTTGTTTGTTTGATGTTTTAACGTCCCTCTCGAGAATTTTTCACTCATATGGAGACGCCACCACTTGCCGGTGGAGAGCTGCAAAGTTTGACCTATACTCGGCACTCAGTGCCATTGAGCAGTGAGAGATCTTTTTTCCTGCCAGCATCTACTGCGACAGGGGACCTCGACTTATACGGTCTCATCCGAAGGACCGGTTTCCACAGTGGGATTGGAACCCGCGATTAAGGATTAACTCCTTACTCTAGAGCAGACGCTCTGCCACTGCGCCAGGCGGGCGACTCAAAATTTGATATGTCAATCTCTGTAAAAAAAAAAATAATCTTACAAATTTAGCCCTTTAATTCGGTCAATCCATAGTTATATCGACTACATACACACACACACACACACACACACACACACACACACAGAGAGAGAGAGAGAGAGAGAGAGAGAGAGAGAGAGAGAGAGAGAGAGAGAGAGAGGGAAAACATTTGTTAAAAAAAATTACTTTTCATGAATTTCTTTTATTTATTTGTCATGAAAGTTTTGCTGCTTGGTAATGCAAACGAATTAGATTAATAAAAGAATCATTAAGAAAGTATTCATTATTTTTTTTAAAATGAATTGTCATGACATTTATGTATACATGATCAATTACATATTTACCTTCATTTCATTTTTAGAAACAAAATATCTACAGGATTTAATAACCGAATCGAAAAGTTTGAAAATAATAATTTATAAATAGGAAGATCATGAATGATGATTAAGATCTTTTGCTTCAAACATTTTACAACGTCCTTTGTATATCTTGTTTTTTTAAAGAGTTGATATTTAATGAATGTTTTTAAGTTCTGTGTGAGTTTCTGGTGTTTAAATCACACAGACTTGTCACGTAGGCATATTTTATGAAGCGTGCTACGCTTCAGGAAAATTATCCCTATGAGTCTGTGTGATTTACAAAACAATAACTCACACAAAGCTGGAAAACATTCCTTATATTTACATTTTACATATTCAAAAGCACCAAAAAAATGTTCATTGTTTATTTCCTCCCTGTCTTTTATCGTTATATTTTTATTAATGTCTCTGTAGCCATTGGAATGTCACTTTAGCACGAGTTTTTCCATGTATATTTCTACGCGTGAGTAAACACGAAAATGGAATTTAAATCAATTTTATACTTGCCCTAACAAAAAAAAAATTACTATAGTTTACTATATTTACATGTAACTATACTTTAATATAGTTAACTATATTTCACTATAGTAACAAAATATTTTTCCTATACTAATTAAAGTATTTTTACTTTGGATTTCACATTATTATTTGTACAGTACCCGCAACGTTTTTCTTGACATGATACACGATAGGATAGGATACACGCACGATACGATAGGATACGCACGATGCGATAGGATACACGCACGATACGATAGGATAAACGGTTTTCACGATAAACGCAAAACCTGATCAACGCAAAACTTCCTAAACTCAAAACACGCTAAACGCAAAACCTGATATGATACACGATTGGCAATACAAATTGCAGACAATTGTGTACAAAACGAAATATGACATATAAAAACAAAGATTTTTTTTTTTTTTTTTAAAAATCGCTAATAAATCTCATCAATGTTCGTATATATATTTATAATTTAGTAACTCAATGAATTTATTTTACCATTTAATAGTAAGTGACCAATTTACAAATGTCTTAAATACCGTTTTCGGATATCCTACATATTGCTATTCTATTTATTTTTACGTGTTTTATCAATACATAAGAATTAAATGTGTACATTATGACAATTATAGAAAAATATAAATATTTATATTAATGCAATAAGTATTCTGATAGCCCAGTTACACATTAAATTGCTTATTTCTTTCCATAATCCTCTCATCACTAGAACACCTTATCTTATCCTCCTTCAATGAATAAAAAGTCTGTAAAACAGTTTGTCGTGTGTTGCCACCTTTGTGACGTTTAATAATTTGTTTGAAATTCTCAAACGTATTATTAACAATGGCATATAATTTTAGCAGACACAAAATATAAATATGAGAAATAAACAAATTTTGTAAAGGGAGATAATCCAAATTTCCAGTAATTACAACTTAGACTTAACAGAAAATCATGAAAATGGGTCTGAAAACGCCACTGACTTTACCGCACTAGGGAAAGTTCAGAGATAAATCGAATAAAATCGATGGAAAAATCGCCAGGGTAAAAGTTGAAACTAAATAGGTCATGCCTATAGTACTGTAAAAGTCACAAAATTTTTAAAAGTGAATTTCAAACGTAAAGGTTGAAATTAAAATGAAAAAAGGCAATGATTGCGAAACCAAAATCTGATAAGCAGATTTAAATTTTTTTTATACACTGTAATTAAATAATTAATTTACAAAAACTGAAAAATTTAAACTTGTTACATGTACCATATCCAAATGATTTTGAAGAAAGGATAAAAGTGACAATCTTGTTACATTTTCAAGAAAATCTATTTTCTCACTGAAATTAACGCTCCCCTTATAGTCCTATATAACTGTACATTCCCTTGTTTGTTCAGATGTACTCCGTCGCATTCAAATTTCCGACTACAGTCTCCGTCCCAGAGAGAAACAAAATAATTCCCGTGTTCCCAAAATACACAATAACCTAGTGATGGCAATGCATCTCTCAGTATTTCATTCACTTTGTCTGCTACATCATTGTACTCGAAATTAACCTTAAATCTTGGCAATAATTTGCAAACAATTATTTTCGCAACATTATAGCGGTGATGCATCACCGATACCACTGTTTCAATTTCTGCGGCCAACAATGTAGGATCTGTACTGGGAACGATGTCGTTCTCCCCGATCATTAGAACAACTACCTCGGGACCTAAAGCAAATACACTCTCCATATCCTTAAATATTATATCACGAACCTTCCTTCCACCCACACCCCTGTACAAAACGGAATGCGTTTTTCCCAACCCAAGATTTGCAGAATATCTAATGTCATCACCATGTTTCAAGAATTCGTGAAAACGACGCACAATTGAATGACCAAGAATGACAACCGAAGTTTTGCCCATTGAAGACATGATAAAATAATTTTACTCACCAAATACTTAATAAAATAAATAACAAACTTGAAAAAACGTCCGTCCTCCAAGGCTGTACGTGGGAGAAGAGGCAGAGTGACGCACCGCGTGACCAGAATTTTAATTGTTTGATTTTGATTGGTCAATCTCTGCCTCTCCTAAGACATGAAAGAAAATGACGATTATAATACATCACTATACAATATTTCAGACTTGAACATTCAAGGAGGACACTTATTGATTACAATAAAAAATTTTAAGTAAACTTAAATTTATTTAAGTAAGCATTAGAATTTTTAAAAACTGTCCATTTTTTAAACATGGCTTTATTACCAGCACATAATTATGTGTGTCGATTTTCAACCTTATTTACAGGACACATGAATCGTGTGTTATGTAAACATGTTTGTTGACTCCAAATCAAGAACTTGATTACTTGATTTCATTTTTAAGTCAATCTGCGCGACCTGGACGACGATGTAGCCTAAGAAATGTTCAAAGGATAAAAATTATTCAGATTTGATGACTTTATTAGAAATGTTTTTTTCTTCTTTTTTCAATCAGTCGGTCGTTTGCACCTCATTTGTCTAATAAATAAACGTCGAACATTTGCCGATTGAAAAGAAATACACATACGGGTACATTTATTGAAAATTAAATTGCCGAGGTTCTTCTCAAATTCATGGACGGATGATTTTAATATTTATTCACATCCAAATTGAAATAAATCAACACATAAAAAATTATTTCTCCAGTTTACTTGTAAATTCGCCAATACTTAGAGCAGTTTAAACATTTTTTTATTATTACGATCATAGTTCATGAAAGTTTGACAGCGTATTCTCTCCAAAATCGATATAAACGGGAAATAATAGTCAGTGCTTAGCGAAAAGAATGATTTTCTTTTAATTATGTGATTTAAAAACAAATGGTAATAGAAATTATTGACTCGAGTTCTAAGATTGTCAGGTTATCGCATTTATTTTTTTTTATGCGAATGATACGTATTTTTTATATTGATATAAAAGTTTGGAAGATGGGCTAATGTGATTCACATGTAAACAATTTGTTGTTACTGTTTTTGTACGCCCTCGTTTTTTATGAGCCAAAGTGTACAAAATCATGCTTTCTCATCCAGAAATGAAAATCAGGAGAGAAAATACGGCATTTTTAGGAGACTACGCACGACAAATCAAGGACAGAAAAATTCACGAAGTTACGTTACGGGGGGAGTAATCTTAAAAGGTTTCGATTCATTAGAATATCTAAATGAATTTAAAGCCGATTTTTCTCATTCATTATCAAATTTGGAATAAATGTATACATTTTATAATTCATATATAAAGACACTAAGAATAACAACACAAAGAAAACAATAAATCTGGTTATTTCATCAATTTTTTGTGAACAAAATAAATATATAAAATATTAAAAAATAACTTTCAAACCATTATGTTTTTTTAAACAACTGTCTGTCAAAACATTGGCTTTATTTCTCCCGGTAAATAAATATTTATTCATTTATATAAATAATTAATATATATTTGGATATAATGAAAATTTCACATTTAATTTTCGTTCTTTCCTTAAATACTTCTTTTCATGATCAATTTTCATTATTCGTTTTTCTTTTTTCTTTAATTAATTTATATACATAGGAATACCTCTGTCTTTTTCCTGATAAGGACAGTAAAATTAGATGCCTTCCGAATGCACACGATAAACGGAAAACCTGATAAACGCAAAACACGATAAACGCAAAACCTGTTAAACGCAACATACGATACGATAAACGGCGGGAATCCTGATAGGATACACACACGATACGATAGGACACACGCACGATACGATAGGATACACGCACGATAGGACACGATAGGATCGTCAAGAGTAACGTTGCGGGTACATCTATGTTCACATATTATTTCCAAATTCTATATCTGTTATCAAATTTAAGAGATTTTAAGCTTTGAAATCTCAAAAAAAGTTCCAGAGTAAAGTTTCATAGTCTGTTTCATATTTGGATATTTTACTTGAAAAAGACGTTAATGGTAATCTAACAACCAAGCTTTATGATAAACGTAATGACTTCCCCTTACTTATGCAGCAATATACTTCCATCACATGCATACGGGGTTTATATCTCTCAGTTGATTCGATACGCAAGAGCATGCTCTAGGTATGTACAATTTCTAAAACGGGTAAATTATTGACAAACAAGTTGATGAAACAAGAATATCAGCAGTCTCGTTTAAAGTCATCATTTCGTAAGTTCTATGGTCGATACAATAACCTTGTCAGCAAATACAATTTATCATTGAGTCAAATGCTGACTGACGTTCTTCATACTAATTGTTAGGCCATTAGTTACACACTGAATTGTCGACGGATTTTTCCGTTATTTCCCTATTATGACAAGGAGCACACGGCGGCTGTGATCGGTCGGCAGGGGATTCTCACTCCTCAATGGCACCTGATCCCACCTCTGATGTTTTGGAGGTCCGTGTTTGCTCTGCACCTATTTTGTAACGTTTAATGGACTTTTGAGCTTGAATACTGTTCGTTATCTCCATATATTTCATTTTATAGTTAGCAATATTAAACTATAGTTAACTATAGTAATTTTTGTTCGCGTTGCTAAGTAGAAAAACACAGCAAATGTAAATATATACAAATATGGGTATAACAGGTATGTCTTTGAAATATTGAAGCTTAATACTTCATGTAAGGCATGGAATAACCTAGATGTTAAAAATGGTGTGATTAAAAAAATGCAAAATACTTCTGATGTTTTAACAGTTGCTATTAGTTTTATGTATCGTAAAGATTACAAACGTTTAGTAATTTAAAGTAATTTAAATCAGAAACGCCAGTCTTTGAATTTTATACACTTGTGTGTACAAAAATACTCGCAAAGGTAGGTATTACATATTGTAGAGATGTGTGTATAAATAGAACAAGTGGCATAAGACACTTACAGACGTGTGTCCTAAAGACCATTATCTCTGTTTATTTACCAAGCAAAAGCAAGAAAATGTAAAGTACTGTGTCATATAGCTAGTCTTGTGTAGTTTCTCATGAAAATTGAAAAAAATAAGGAACGAGAGTTTCAGAAAACCGGTTACATACGAGCACTGAGTGATTATGAAACCTGTATCTCCCATCACGCAAACATTTTGGGTTCAATCAATCTGAATCATATGTATAACATATTATGAACTCATCAATGCATAAAGTACAATGGCGTAGAAGGTATAAAACACGGTTGATAATGGGGGAAATAGGGTTTTTCTTGAAAATAAGCGTTGTCCAGTGATGTGTGACAGGAGTTTGATTACCTTGTGGTGTAATTTTGACGACAGCTGAGATATCATCAAGAAGACGAGAAAAGGTGAGGCAGACAACAATACAAAGGGAACCTTCATCTACAGGTTCCTCCTCCGTCTTCCAGACTGGTTCTATCCTTCTTATATACCTTTCCATAAAATCAGAGAATGCTTTCCTTGGTAAACTTGAAAGATATTTGATATAAATTTGCCGTCCTTGTTTCTTTTCTTCTACTTTACATTGCTTCATTTCGTTCCCTTTATGTTCAACATCTAATATTAAGGATAATACATAATAAAATGTAATTTTTCTCTTTATTAGTCAAGATTTGAGATATATCAATTAATCATTGATATTCCTGCACATTTAAGTTGTTGATGAAAAAAAAAAATGAATTTACAGATATTTCATGGCTTACATTTTCATTCCAAATCAAAGGTTCATTAAATATTATTTTTAAGTTCTTCTGGATAGGAAAATGTTTCCTTACTTTTCTACTAAAGGACTGTTTAAAGTATATATTTTGTCTTATTTCAATAGAATAATGTTTTTCTGTATAATTTGATATTCAAATTGCGTTTTAAAAATTCTTTTTAATGAACATTAGTTAAATTTAATTAAATCTAACCCATTGATTCTTCCGGGTTTCCAATTTCTCGAGAAGATGGGTCCTGATGGATAGAGTTGTTGAGTTTTAACAAATTTTCTTTCCTGTCAGTGCTTTCATCTATAACATGATCAATGATCAGTGGCATGAACAATAAAAATTGTGAAACTTTTGGGACACCCTGTCCCTTCCTCAGGACATAGAAAAGGTTAAAAAGTCATAAAAACAAAACAAATTAAAAAATGAAAACAATATCTAGAGAGAGAGAGAGAGAGAGAGAGAGAGAGAGAGGCAAAAACTGTTGTTTATTACCGTATGTATTTCTGTCTGCATTGAAGAGATCTGAAAGCAAAGATTCGAAATAATAAATGTCAATGATTTCTTAGATTTTAAGATAAATGCAATCACTTATTTCATCTATATACTTTTAATTAATACCTCCTTCAATCAGGGCCCCGACTGCTCGCTCAGCTCTGTATGTATCACCTGGAAAACCTACTATTGAAATGTATTTTATTCGCTTGTCAGGGTAGTATGTTTCAATGACATATTCTTTACCTTCCTTCATATGTTGTTCTCCGATCATGAGTATCATTCCTATATAGATAATAATAATAATTATAATTACAGACATAAGCACCCTTCAAATATCCTACTGTGACTTATAACATCCAACAGACATATTGTAAATGTAAAATAGTAAATCAGACATTAAGGAAAAAGGAATACGTGTATATATAAATCAGTTTGAGAGTGGAATAACCAGGTAAAAAGGCCAAATCTGCAAAAAAAAAATTCCCCTAGGAAGATTAAAAAAATATCGCAAAAGATAGGAATATGTACATCAATTTCGAAATTGACTGATATATAACTTTTAAGGCAGTGAATATATTAATTTTTATTATGAGACTTAGGTTTGGGGTTAGTAAACCAAATAAAATAAAATAGCATTTAATTCATTTTCTACAATAAACCACCAACCCACCCACCCCACCCTCCAAAAATTAATTTGAAATGCATTATTCCATATCATTTTTGTGACTGCAGACGGGGGGATGGGGGGGGGGGTCAATGCAAAACATTTCGCACAGTACAGTGAAATACTGCATATTTTAATTTTTAAAGTAAATCTTCATCAAATATAACAAAAGAAAAAACACAACAGATATAACATATTTAATTTTTTTCTTTCTTTTTTTTCGATAGTTTTTCATGACACTTGGCTTGTACACTGGAGTTAATTTATAAGCAAGAGCATACTCTACGTATGAACAATTTCTAAAACGAGATATATTATTGACAAAAAAGTTGATAAACAAGAATATCAACAGTTTCATTAAAGTCATCTTTTCGTAAGTTCTATGGTCGATAAAATGACCTTGTCAGCAAATACAATCTATATTTAAGTCATATGTTGACTGACGATTTTCATACTAATTGTTATTCATTATTTACACACCGAATTCCGTTATTTACCGATCATGACAAGGATTACAAGGCAGGTTTGACCGATAGGCAGGGGATGCTCTCTCCTCCATGGCACCTGATCCCACCTCTGTTTTTTTTTTAGGTTCGTGTTTGCTCTGCTCCCGATTTGCAATCTTTTAATTGACTTTGAGCTTGAATACTGTTCGTTATATTTATATTTATATTCATATTACACTTGTTATGAAAAATAAGAAGTTTTTTCTATTGAGTTTTAACGCAATAAAACAGTATTCAGCCTACTTAATTTTGAATTATTTGTCAATTTAAAATATTCCGGACGCCAAAGTACACATGTAATCTGATATATAGTATTTTACTCGATTCGACAGATCCAAATTGCTGTTACACACCATTTGTTGTTTTGAACTTTTCAACAACTTTTTAATATTCTGTTTAATTATTCTGTTTAATCAAACATGAATTGAAACATCGGTTTTAATTGTTTTATTTAAATATACATAAAATGTTCAATCTCCTTTGTAAGAAGTTTGAAACTTGGAGTTAATATGTTCAAGTTTTTTGTGGGAAATATTTTTAATTTAAGTCCTTTTTTTTAATATTTTAATTTCCTTTAAATATTTTTAATTATTATTTTCACATGCTATTAGAACATTTTAAATAAATATAATAAGGGATCGTAAAAGCAAAGGAAACAGCAAATTATCACAATGTAAGTTAAAATAATTTGTGTTTGACAAGGAATAAATTCATATCACAAATTTTTTAATCATTTAAAAATTATTATTGGATTAATACTCATAAGTAGTCACAATCTATTTTAACCTTGTAATTTTGTTTCTGGTAGATATTCTTCTTTAATTGAGTCTATAACATCGATGTGACCTTCAAATCTAGCCTCACATACTCCAATCCACTTATTTTTAATTTCCTCTCCTATTTTCCTCGAGTTGATACTGATCTCTTTTTCTTTTAAGAAGTTTTCGATATCATGTCTCCTTTCTTCAGCTTTTGTTGTCAAAAAAATCAAATCCAACTCCGCAACCACGTCTTAAAATACAGCATTGGATATTAATATTGAATACGGCATTAATCATTGCATTATGGAACAGGAAAAATGTACTATTAGTTAATTCTATTTTTGAAAATTCTACTCCAGTTGAATTTTCATATTTAATATAAAAACAATCAGAATACTCACTTGATTTTAAGGAGGAAAGCTTCAGCCCCATTTTTCTTAAAACTTCATCTTTAAAGAACAAAAAAAGGTTTTAATCAAGTCTTAATTAGAAAATATAATTTTTATGTTAATTATTCTTCAATATTGATTCTTGTGGACACAAAATCTGTCTGCAAATTTCTCACTTGTTTGTAAACAATTTCTTACATCTGGCAACAAATCCATGTACAACTACTTTGAACAAAAAATATGCTTTCTGATTAGAGTGATTTCCCTTTAAATGATTTCTATCATGTACCTTTCTTCAAAATAAATGTCCCGAAATGGAAAAGTCAGATTTATCATATCTGATACATTTTTGCTAGGGCTGGGACAATATATCGATATATTGATACGTAATGATATTCAAGAATGTATTGTATTGAAAATTTTACTTCCAATACGCATCGGCCAGGCAGTTTTTCTTATAAATCTGTTAAAAAGTTGGGAAATTCAATCACCAAACATTATATTTAACTGTTTTGAATTAAAACTGATCAATGATTTAATAATTCAGAATTGAAAAACAAATTAGATAGATTATACGATCAGTATGTACTGGTCCCAGCTGACAAAGCTTGTAGCAACGTAGTTTTTGTTTTTAAGGTTCATTATTTGAATTGTATTTTAGAGGAACTAGGATCTGATTGAGCTTGAAATAAAAGATAATACAGAGTCTGACACATCTGTTTCATATTTTTACTTTTAAATCGTCAACTTCCAATACTTATGTATCAATATACCTTAACACCTGCATATGGAGTTTATGTCTCTCGGTTGATTCGATACGCAATAGCATCCTATACGTATGAACAATTTCTAAAACGAGGCAAGTCATTGACAAACAAGTTGATGAAACAAGGATATCAACAGTCTCGTTTGAAGTCATCATTTCGCAAGTTTTATAGTTGATGCAATGACCTTGTCAGCACATGCAACATCAAATGCTGACTGACGTTTTTCATACTAATTGCTAGGCCATTATTTATACACTGAATTGCAGACGGATTTTTCCGGGTTTTTTCCCAATCATGACAAGGAGAACATGGCGGGTGTGACCGGTCGGCAGGGGATGCTCACTCCTCCCTAGCACATGATCCTTCCTCTAACTATTGAGGTCGCGTTTGCAATGCTCCAAATTTGTATCTTTTTATTGGACTTTCGAGATTGAATACTGTTCGTTATCTTCATATTTCATTCATATATGATTGATTGATTGATTGTATTTTGTTTTACGTCCCATTCGAGAATTTTTCACTTATATAGATACGTCACCATATACCACTGAAGGGCTGCAAATGTTGACCTTTACTCGGCACATCAGGGCCATTGAGCAGTGAGGGATCTTTATTGTGCCAACGCCTGCCGTGACATGGGGCCTCGGTTTTTAAGGTCTCATCCGAAGGACCCGCAACTTTCACCTCAAGCGCATGGCGAAGGAACAGTTGCTACCAATTTTTTATCGACTAAGGTCAGTCGCGGCCGAGATTCGAAATCACAACCTCCCGATCACGGAGAGGGCGCTCTACCGACCGAGCTATCGTGAACGGTTTTCATTCATATAAACATTTTAAAGGAGATACCATATCTTAGATCATATAGATACTTAGTACATAATACATAGGCAACTGAATTTCTAAATGTTTGTTTTACAGATCTTAAAAGTTTGAATTTGAGGCATATTTTTTTAATAACAGTAAGACAAGAATGACGAAATGGATTATAAAACATTTAGTTTTTATAAAATTTAAACATTAAATTACATGCATAAGACTTAGTGATAGACGTTAAAAAATCCAATATATCGCATATCGCTTTATAAATTATCGTATGGTATCGTAACAAAATGTTTTGCTCAAAACACAGCCTTTGAAAAATGATACATTTTAAAAGTATTCTTATGAAGCAGAATTTATTCAAAACGTTTACATGAAAAGAAGTATCCTGTTGTGGCCTTTAATTCGACATTTAGATATATCGACAGTTTTATCAATTAACCATTTTCATTTTTATTACTTTTTGAGTCGATGAAATATGTGGAGATAACGAACAGTATTTGAGCTCAAATGTCCATTAAACATTACAAAATAGGAGCAGAGCAAACACGGACCTCTAAGACAACAGAGGTGGGATCAGGTGCCATGGAGGAGTGAACATCCTCTGCCGACCGGTCACACCCGCCGTTTGCTCCTTGATATGATCGGGAAATAACGGAAAAAATCCGGCGACAATTCAGTGTGTAAATAATGGTCTAACAATTAGTATGAAAAAAGTCAGCATTTGACTTACATTGGAATGATATATTCTCTCAAACTGGAAATAAAAGATGCCTCAGAGTGTGATACATCTGTTTCATATTTGAATGTTTTAATAGAAAAAGACAATGATCGCAATGATCGTTATTAGCAGACCTACTTTTATATTCATATGAAGCAGAATTTATTCAAACTCTTGTACATGAGAAGAAGACGACTCTTGCTGTGGCCTTCAACTCGACATTTAGATCAAAAACGTATTATCAATTAACAATAGTTACTTCCATTCATATGTCGACTCGATATATCCCAGTGAACTTAATATAAAAGATACCACAGGGTCTGAAACATCTGTTTTAAATTTGGGTATTTCACTAGAAAAGGACGTTAGGGAGGGATTCTTGTCTGGTTTCTGACTAAATGAAATATTCAAAGTATATTTACTCAAAAAGCTTATATATTTAGATGTAAGGGATTTATAAAAGATCCTATTTTCCTTTCCTCTTCATACCTGTACCACTTTAAAAAGAAATGGTAAACTGGGTTTGAAATCTAGCGGGGACCATATTTTTGGCGGAACGGCGGCGTATGAAAATATCTCCTTTTCTGCTTCTCGAAATTACTACAAAACATTTAAAGTAATTAAATTTTTTAAACAATC